GTTGGTATTCAACACTCTATTATTTGTGCACTTTTCCCACAAATTGTGCCGGATCACACGGCGTACGCCATCCAGCTGCTGTGACTAGAAACCTTTCATGTAAACTAGGACGGATCTCAGCTTTTCAGACTTCTGTATTGAGATGTGATGTCTCCGTCTTCCCCCTCAGTCACACTTCATGCAGTGCAGCGAGGACAACGAGGACTTCAGCGGGATCCACTGCGAGGTGTTCGAGGCCGCCCCCCCAATGACCATGGCTCTGTCTGTGCTGGTCACCATCGAGATGTGCAACGCTCTGAACAGGTCTGACGACACGGTCAACTCATACTTCTGTAACTAAGTACATTCACTCAAGTACTGGACCAAAGTACACATTTAAAGTACTTGTGTATTTCCATTTGATGCCAAGTCAGAAGCACTATTTTTTAGTAGAAACAGTACTTTTACTTTTGATATTTGAAGTACAATTAACTGATAATACTCCTGTACTTTTATTTATATGGGGGTTAAAATGCAAGACTTTAAAACTGCTGTGTTGGTGCTTTTACTTTAGTACTTCTACCTCCACTGAGTAAACTACGTAACAGTATTTAAAAAGAAAGTTAAAATGAGCTCCCTATCGAACAACAATAACAACAACAGTAAAAAGTGACACAGCAGTAATAATAATGCATTTATAGAACATATATCAACATTACACTCATGTGGGGTCCCTTTTTCTACTTTTAAAACATATAAAACAGAGGATCATATGCATGCATGCAACATATCAGGAGTGTGATAACTATGATTATGATAAAGAGACACTACACAACATCTACCTTCAATATTCAACATGTAAATATGCCACATGCTCATTCTTCATGTCCTTTTGTAGACATTTATTTTCCTACATTCACCTCAACACACAAACACACTTTTCACACGCCCTCAAACATGTTCAGTCTGCATTAACTTTCCCCTCCGCCTCCCCCATCCAACCCCTCCTTCCTCCTCCTCCTCCCCCCCCCAGCTTGTCTGAGAACCAGTCCCTGGTGCGCATGCCCCCCTGGAGCAACGGCTGGCTGGTGGGCGCCATGAGCCTCTCCATGTCCCTTCACTTCATGATCATCTACGTCGACCCCCTGCCCGTGAGTCCGGCCTCCTGCACCACAAAAACAAACATCCATCTCCCTCGACTCCTCCCTCACACACACACACACACACACAACCTCCATGTTGCCATTGCTTAAATACTTAACAGATGGTGCACCGCTCAACTGCCCAAATTACTAACAGAAGTGGGATTTAAGGTGGCACACAATCAAACCAGCTGCTCAGCTCTGTGAACTCCTAAAATGGTGTGATTGTTTTTTTGATGTGAATTTGTATCTTCACCTACAATAGTGTGGAGATACAAATTCACATTGTTCAGAGGGAATAACACTACAGGTATTCATACGAGCGCTGACGTTAACATGATTTTACAGCTCCTTTCTTACTGGTAGTCGTGCTTCTAGTTTGGCAGCTTTTGACACGACGTTGCTCTTGTCCACAGATGATCTTCAAGCTCACTCACTTGAATGTGGAGCAGTGGTTGATGGTGCTGAAGCTCTCCGTCCCAGTCATCCTCATTGATGAGGTCCTCAAGTTTGTGGCTCGCACATATCTAGAGGGTAAGCTACACGCGTGACCCGCATACAACACGTTTCCTTCATTCTGTACCTGTGTGACGTTTATAGCGTGTTCACTTTCCTGGAACAGACGTTAACGTGACTTCCTCCTCCTTTAACATTTTAACCTGAACCTGTGCTACGAATGTCTCCATTTTATTGATTTGAACATATTGATGAATGGAATGTTATGGAATAATTTACCTCCCAATTAAATGTGTGATTTTAACCTCTTTTGTTCTTCCTCACACAGCTGTAATGATCTCCCACCCTCTTTGCTCTAACCTCTGTTTACTCTGATGACATGTATCTAACTTTCCTCTCCTTGGATGCTCTTTTTCACCATTCCCTCTCCGACAGTCTAAACCTATTCCCCCTCCTCTACCCCCCTGTAACAAAAGGTGTTCCCCTGACTCATGCTCAAGGTTTAAGCACTCTGCATCGTGCACAAACATTTTGTTGAGTCTTACAAATCTTTCTGGACTCGTACATTTGGATCCTGAGTGCAGCTGTTCGTCTGGCTTTACATCTTTCTTGAATTGCCAGTAGAAGTCTAATACTTGGTCTCAGCATCATACGTAGTATTTGCATAGTTGGTGTTTAATATTTAAAGTTTGAATATGTTACTTTAGCTTATTGCTTACAGTAGCTTGTAGATCCGCTCAGAGTAGAAACAGCAACATTGCGATGCTTTTAATGTGATCAAACTTGTGATTGTGTAAAAGCAGCCTTATTAATTGGACTTTGCTCATATAAAAACCTAATTTTTTTACTATGTGTAACTCAAATTTATATTTACATTATACTGTATTTTAGCTAATGTGCATTATTTTCCCCGCTATGTGAAACTGGTGTTTAGCTCAATAACCGACTAAAAATGTACATATGAAGATTTGATTTTGGGAAATATGCTCGTGTGTTTTCTTGCCTAGAGAATCCATCCATGCTGGAAACAGGTGGATTGATGGTTTAATGTATGTATCGGATGTATTCATTTATAAAAGAAATGAATAATTCAGAAATGTAAATTTGAGATTCCAGGAAGATACTGGTCCCAGCCAAGAGTTTGCTCCCATAAAAGAAGCACATTTTCTTTTTTACACTTTGTTTTTTGTACACATTACACCAAGAAAATATTGTGTGTTAATTAGAGTTTCAGAGGTGCTGGAAGACGTTTTTTGTTACCTTTGACAGAGACATGCTGGCTGTTTGGTTATGCTAAGCTAAGCTAGGATGGAGGAACAGTGTTCATCTCATCATCCAGCTAACTCGAGGCAACAAATCAAATTAGCGCATTTCCCAAAACAGACTCTTGACTCGATGCTTTTTACTACTCACTGCCATCACCTCACAGCTGACCTGCTTGTTTTCCTCTGCAGGGAAAGTCTAGAGGTAAAGAGCGACAGAGCGGCTGAAGCAGAGAGAGAGAGAGAGAGAGGGAGAGAGAGAGGAGACGCAGAGGATGGAGAAGAAGAAGGCCGAGCGCTCCCCCTGAAGAAGCGCTCGGCCGACAGTCACTCATCAGAACATCTAGTGGCACGAATGCAAAAGAAAACACATACGCCATCTGAAAATACACCAAAAGAAAGCTGCAAAATATTTTTTTCTGTGTATGTACTGAAGTTAATATATAGGTGAGAGTTATTAAAACTATCGTGTTGATTCTATTCTTAAAGAATAAAGATATGTATTAAAGAAAGTCTTGGATGTCACCGTTTTCAATTCAGTTTTTTTAATATACATATACTGTATATATATATATATATATATATAAAATGCTGTTAATAGATGTCGAGCGCTATTTCCTGACATTAATTAAGCTTCTGTAATGCAACAGAGCAGAGCAGGAATAACAATGAGGTCCATAACAATCAGTAAACAAGGTGTAACTGCATTAACGTAAAAACAAACACATTTATGAACGTAGTTTGGTTTATGAGAGTTGTTGCACAAGTGAGACAGTTACAGCTATTATCACAATGAAGTCACAAACTGATGTATAACTCTGTATTAATACTTTGAGATCTGTCTACAGTTGAATTTGCAGCGGCTGTACTTTGTATCATTTTCAAGATCATGTATTTTAAAATAGGTTAAATGTAAATGATCAACTTATACGGTATATTAAAGTATATTGTGTAGAGAAATATATTATTATGCACATCAGTCTTGTACATTTCCGTTGACCCTTTTTGCATATTAGGCGGCTCTGCACGGAGCTCCGAGCCCAGGGTTGAGAAACTTTATCTTAATATTTGAATACGAGCTCAAAGGTCGAAGAGAAGACAGTGACGGCCTGTCTTCACTTTCCAACATGTATTAACACAAAACAATGTGGAACACATTCACATTCCTTCATAGAGTTTTTCTGAGGTTCTGTTCAAATACACAATCAATAATTAGCTTGAAGTCTAAAAGCGACTACGGACAAGATCAGTTAACGACGCTGAGCTACAATAAAAAGACAAATAATGCATATGATGAAAACCCCACCTGAAGTTCATTTAGGAGAGTTTCTACTTTGTGTCACTATTGTTCATTATTGCACTGTGATCCTTTGCTTTACAAAGCATAATCAATTAGTGATACAGTGAAATATGGAGCGTTGGAATGTTGAGTGTTTTGCTGGAATCATGTCAGTTTTAACAGAAAACATTTACATGTGTGTTAGTAGAGGATGTAAGACAAAGGGAATGTGAACAACGTCATCACTTTGGTAGCAGAGCAACAGTCTGTTCGGTTTCAGTCACCGAACCGTCACCTCGATCACGACAATAACGTCTCTTTAGGAACATCGAATGTTAGCAGTGCTAGCAGCACCAGCTGTGATGATCCCAGTGGTCACGACAGTATTTCACGTGGTTGGATGGTCCTTTTTGGAGAAGTTAAATCTCTGTCTGTGCTCTTTGGTTCCAATATATATATATATAT